ATTGGTTCAAGTGCAAGTGCGCTTTACTCGACTGGCTCACGCTTGCTGCGCCGCCGTATTGCCAGGTACTTCCTCACCTCGCAGTACGTGGCAAAGAACAGAAAATGCCACTGAAAATGTCATGTGCTCTGAAGTAAGCTTTGCAAAATTAGTCGTTCCATTTACCAGCTTGGATATGTAGTTCCATCATATAATCATTGTAATAGAAGAAACAAAATGTATAGGATGATAAAAATTGCACCATTTTCCATGTTCCATTTTGATGCAATTCAAGACAATTAAAAAATAAAAGGAAGAATTTGATTTCTTTTCATCCCATGGACCCATTCACGACACCGTAAAGTACAAACGGTGTTGTCCCATCTATTTATTCTTGAACCCCTTAAGTCAGCCGACAGAAACCTAAAAGTTGTCTGCTAAATCCAATTTTAATGGAGATATTTGCTTCTTACAAGGGAACCTTTTCAGAGAGACACCATTGACTCATATGTGCGCTACGTGCTCATGTTTGGCCACTTCTAACGAGACCTTGGTTTCATTGTCCTGCATCGCATTCTTCACCCCCAATCGCTTGTGTTGTATTGCAGGATGACAGCCCGCCCCCGAGCCTGGCTGCCTTCTGCCCGACAGACCCCAGCCTGCTCATCTACACTGGTTACGGGATAGAGAAAGAGTTGATTTTCTACAGCCTCTCGAAAAAAAGGGTACCTGTCTTTCTTATCTGAGCCTCCGTTGCTGACTGGCTGATCAGTAACATTACATATATTTTTTTATGTACTTGTACAAGATCATCAAAAAGATTGCTTTGCCTCACTGGGCCACATGCTTCAGCCTCTCTTCCAAGAGTCAACTCATAGCGTTGGGGTCAAAAGGTAAAGTGTCGCTCAGAAGCCACACAAAGTTCAAGGATGTTTGCAACGATAATCTGACCGCTTGCCTGACCTTTGGTCGTCCTTCCAGAACGAGTGTTGAAGCTGATCAAATGGACCAGCGGCAAGTTCCAAGACTTCTCACAGCACAGCGACTCGCTGCAGACGTGTCGTTTCTCGCCCTCAGGGACACTCCTCTTCTCTGTGGCTCATAATGAGATTCTGCTGTGGGAGGTGAACGGCCTCTGAGAAGCCGCTTTGGTTTTTTTGTTTTGGGTCCCCCCAAGTTCAAACCTTGTAGGTTTGTGCCCATCCACGTGTCT